TGTAGTGGGGTTGTTAACCATTGTCATAGGGCAACATGTGTACTAACTCTTTAATGAGAAACTATTTTGTTCTGTAAACCTTCATCTAAAGTTAGAATAGCAGCACAACTGGAAGAGCGTAGTCGATGTCACTGAACTGTGCATGTAGAAATTTTTGAAATGGCGTATCTTTGGCTATGTATATTTCACCAAAAAAAAAAAAAAAGGTCGAGAAGGGAGAGGGTTTACATGTCATGGGGTTGTTAACCAATGTCATACAGCAATATGTGTACTGACTGTTTAATGAGAAACTATTTGTTCTGTGAATCTTCACCTGAAGTACAATAAAATAAAATAAAAAAAAAAGCCCTTCTAAGTAACTCTTGGCATGACGAAAAAAAAATTAAATGAAATTTTCAGACTATTTAGAAATAGCAAAGAGAACACACATACACCCCCCTCTGAGTTGAAGGTAAAATGGCACTGAAGGTAAAATATATAAATAGTCCTAAGTGCAATTATTGAAAAATAAGAAAGACCAAAAACAAAGCGTCCAACTCAAGAATCTCAAAAAAAAAACCCCAAAACAACTAATATAATTAAACAGAAGAAATATAAGCATAAATTAATGAAACACGAAACAAAAAACTGTTTTATAAACTCTTCAAGTATATAGAAAAATATGGAAAATTACTCAATTCATTCAATGAACGTAGCAGAAATTTGACATTAAAACTGGACAAAGAGAGAACAACAGGTGTGTGTGCATGTGTGTGGAAAGCTTTAAAAAAAAAAAAACAACAGAAATGTGTTTTAAAAAGTATACAACATAGCTAGATAATCTTTATCCCAGACATCCAAGGGTGGTTCAATGTTAAGGAAAGAATTGATGTAATTCATTACACTACCAAATAAGAGAAAAATTTTCTAAACACAGTGATAAAAAAGAAAAAAATTTAATTGCTGTAGAGTGGATTCCGACTCATAGTGACCCTATAGGACAGAGTACAACTGCCCCAAAGGGTTTCCAAGGAGCGACTGGTGGATTCAAACTCCTGACCTTTTGGTTAGCAGCCAAAACTCTTAACCACTGTGCCACCAGGGCTCCAAACATAATAATAGGTGCTGAAAAAGTAGTTGAAACTCCAATTCAACCACAATTACTGTTGTTGAAGATTTAGGAAAAAAAGAAAAATGCCAAACTTGATAAAAGGTATCCACAAGAAATCTACAGCAAGTCTCATATCTAAAAGTCAAATATTAAGCACATTTCTAAGCAGGAAATGAGCAGGACAAGGATTCTACTATCATTGCTAGTTAGTCTTCAACACTATTCCAGAAGACATATCAAATGCATTTTCTCTCTGTCTCACACACACACACACACATACAAAGCCATAAATGAAACCAAATATTCTATATCTTTTAGTAGATAGGGTCGCTATGAGTCAAAATTGACTCATTGGCAACAGGTTTGGTTTGGTTTGGTTTTTGGTAGAAATATTTTTAAAATGAAAACACGCTTTACTTATTTTTATGTGTTTACCAACCAGGAAAAAAGTAAAAGTAAAATGGATATATTTCTCTCTTAAGGAAAAAAAAAAAGACTATCTTTTGGGTACATTTCCCAGTGCTGACATACAGATTTGTGAGTATCGAACCTCCAGGAAAAACATAGGAGAACAATTGATATTTTCTCCTTTTAAAATGTAAGACTTAGTCTTTTAGGTGCAACACGGTCCTCTGCCGAGCCAAGATTTTGTTATTACTTTTTTAAATCTGGGAAGAAAAATGGTCAGGCATACAAGTGACTGATTTAGTTCCTTTTGGAAGTTTCCAAGGAGCCCTCGTGGCACAGTGGTTAAGCGCTCAGCTGCTAACCGAAAGGTTGGCGGTTCAAACCCACCGGACTCTCTGTGTGAGAAAGATGTGACAGTCTACTTCTGTAAAGATTTATAGCCTTGGAAACTGTCCTCTAGGGTCCCTACGAGTTGGACTCCACAGCAACAGGTCTAGAAGTTTCCAAGAAAGTACAGAGGAGCTCTCTCTCTTAACTCTTTGCAGTTATAATCCATTAGTAATTCCTGCCTCAGGCAACAGGACTGAGCACATTCTGCTGTCCTGTGCCCCAGGGAAGAATAAATGTAGTTTGCTATAATCCTAAAATCCTGTCCATCTCACAGTGTATAAAGAGAAATAGATCATTGCCATGAGACCCTAGTAGTAATTCAGTCAAAAATATAATATTCTAAATAAGAATTGAGAGACCTTGAGAGTTGATGATTATATATTAAAGTACCCACTGCAGGAAATGTTTCTGAAAAGAGAGGAACCTCAAATCAGAGGTCCTTTGACCTTTTTGAAGATGGTGAAAGTGCTTTGCTATGTCATCAGCAAAAACTGAGTCTATCACTCAGAGATTTCAATAATATGAATCACAAGAGATGCATTTAAAAGAACCGAGACTTCTCAAGTAAGGGGCTTCATTGCATAACTGTTGGATTTTTCCCCCATTCATTCCTCTGTAATATTTTTTATAACTTATTCATCCCTGTTCTCACCAAAATTATTATTTTTGTTCATGTAAAGTGTACATTTCTAAATTATTATTCAAACTGATATTGCTATATAGCTATATTCAAAATATTATTACCTTGCTATATTCACAAACAGCACTGGATATATTTTCTAGGTTGAAAGCAATGTTTGGTTCATTTAAGCAAGCTGGAGTAAACGGTGGAAACAGAATGTAGTAATCTAATTTCTTGGTCTAATATTCTATCTGTACATGCTAGCCTTGCTGGTTCTGAATTATACCAGCCTTAAGGATTTATATCAGTCTAGTACATATTTGGAACTCTGGTGGCTCAGTGGTTAACAGCTCGGCTGCTAACCAAAAGATCAGCAGTTCTAATCCCCCAGCTGCTCCTTGAAAACCCTATGGGGCAGTTCTACTCTGTCCTATACGGTTGGAATCGACTTGATGGCAATGGGTTTGGTTTTGGTTTTATTACATATTTACTAGGTCACCTGGATTTCATATCTCTTTCCCACACAGGCCTACACGGCAATGATTTCAGCAACGGGAAGTGTATCAGTAGAGGTCCAACTAGGCAAACATAAGTGATGTGAGTAAACAGAATTTAATCCAGAAATTTGATTACACAAGTGATGGGATTGCTAAAAAGCAAAACAAAAGACAAGAAGATAAGACAAGGAGACAACCCAAAGATTAGCCACAGCAGGAAGCCATTACTACCTCTAGGCCAAAAGGACAAAGAAAAGAGTCAGAGGTATCAGAGCCTGGGGGCCCACGAAGGAACTCTGGTGGTGCAGTGGTTAAGAGCTCAGCTACTAATCAAAACATTGGTGGTTTGAATACACCAGCTGCTCTGCAGGAGAAAGATGTGGCAGTCCGCTTCCCCAGTTCTGTCCTATAGGGTCTATGAGTTGGAATCAGCTTGAAGTCAGAGGTTTTTTTTTTTTTTTTTGGGGGGGGGGAGGAGTTGGGGCCCAGGTCACCAGGCCAACAATGGAACCACAGCAGGTCTGTCTTGCTCTAGCTGAAGCCATAAAGGAGATAGAGCTATTGCCAGATATAGTGCTGGAGGGACAGAGAGATTGGGGAAGAAATATACCTCAAGTTCCCTGACTCTCATCTTCCAGTCTCTGGAAAACCCAACCTCCAGGGGTCAGCTCCCCCAGAATGTTGAACCAGAGATGAGGGAGGAATGGGTCTGATGGGAAATAGCCAAAGATCCATACTGAGGGGGTAAAGAGAAGGCAGATCAACAAATTAGTACTGGCGGGCCATCAACTGATCACAGTGCCAGATATGCAGGAAAATGGCTGTTGGTTGGGCTGGTTTGCATGTTTTATTTTCGTGTGTTCATTTGTATTTCTATTAAAGTCTTAGTTTCCTAGATTTTAAGAAATCAAATTTATCGAGTACATATTGTGTGTCAGGCTCGTTTGCTGTTGCTTTGCTTTGTTTTGATTTTTGCGGGGGGTGGGGTGTTAGAGGAAGTAGAAGCATGCCCATCCAGTAGCTTCCTGGAACTGGATAAAGCAGGAATAAATAATTTATTAATACGTATGAATAAATTGGCCTCACTCCCACCAAGGTAGAGAGCGCCCTCAAGTGGAAAGTTTTAAAAGTTTTGATAGCACAGGTCCTTCCCTTTTAAGTACTTTCACATTGAGCACGGATGCTCTTGGCTGCAATCTGGACACCAAATAAGATGTAGTGTAGCACTCTTTACCAAGCACCGGTTTTTATTATCTAAATTTTAAGCCCTTTGTTTCCCAGAAAGTTTTCTGATTTAAAAAATTGCAAGCTATAATTGAAGAGAGAACAAGAAAAGTGCTCTTTTAATTCTTCAGACTACTGCTTTGGCCAGTAGAAATAATTTAATAAGTGAACCGGTTTCAATGTATAATTTTATTAATAGGAAATCGCTCAACCCACTGAATAAATTTTGAGCAAATATAGGAAGATTATACATTTGAAGGAATACGTATTCGTTAGTCTGCCATGGCGATGCACTGTCTCAGTTTAGCTCTGAGATTGCTGGAAACCTAAGTTTCTTCAGGTGTGTTTTCTCTTTTGTGAGATGGAGCATGGTATCTGGAATAGCAGGGCCAAACCATCTGTGGTGATTCTGGGACTATTTACATTTTTCAGGTGGTAAAGGAAATAGGAGGACCCACCAGCCTTAATAACTCATCTGGAAGCCAGGCATCTTGAGAAATTCCCAAGTCGACTTAGCAGAGGTCAGCTCTGCTCAAGGATTACGGAAAGAGGAGGAGGGTAGCGGAAGTTCTAATAATAAACAATTGCAAAGCAAAATATTGTCCAAGCATGGATTGATAACAATTATCTAATAACTTAATTTTTTTAAGGATTTAATTAAAAAAAAAAAAAGTACCTGCACGTATTGGGCTCCTGGATATTGGTGGTATACACGAGCTGCGCCTAAGACATATAAATAACAAGGAAGAACAAAGAATGAATTTCTGTTACAGGAATGTTGGTGCTTATTTAGAGTTAGAGGATGCTTTCAAGTTCTAAAGGGAACTGTTAGTTAGCATGTTCTTGAGGTCTCCTTTCATGAAGCAGAGGAATACCAGTCATCCTGTAGAGAAAGGCCAAATTCTAAATAGAGTAGTTGACAAGTGAACAAATAATAGCGTGCCTACCTCCCCGACCCTAAAAGCACTGAAATAGAGAAGTAGACCAGCCTCAGACAGGAACCGTCAAACAAACAAAATGGGTTAGAGGAAAGTCCCTTAGTCCCTGAAACTAGGCAGACTGGTACCCAGGCTAAGACTATAACATGGTTAAATTTAGCATACCAACAGAAATAATGTATGAATCTAAATGGCAATTGGTCAGCAATTCATTCACTCATTGCACAAATATCGACTGACTGCCTGTCTTATGTGAGGCCTGTGAATGCAGCAGTCAAAAACCAAAACAAAGAAACAAAAACTGTCTACACAGATGCTTACATTCTGGGGATGAGAGACAGATAAAGTTGTTGTTGCTAGGTGCCACTAAGTCAGTTCTGACTCATAGCGACCCTATGTACAACAGAAGGAAACAATGCCCAGTCCTGCGCCATCCTCACAATCGCTGTTACGCTTGAGCCCACTGTTGTAGCCACTGTGTCAATCCATCTTGTCAACAGTTTTCCTCTTTTTCTCTGACGCTCTACTTTATCAAGCATGATGTCGTTCTCCAGCAACGGGTCCCTCCTGATAATATGTCCAAAGTACGTGAGACAAAGTCTCACCATCGTGGCTTCTAAGGAGCATTCTGCCTGTACTTCTTCCAAGACAGATTTGTTCATTGTTTTGGCAGTCCGTGGTATATTCAATATTCTTCGCCAACACCATAATTCAAAGGCATCAATTCTTCTTCAGTCTTCTTTATTCATTATCCAGCCCTCGCATGCATATGAGGAGATTGAAAACACCGATTCCGACTCATAGTGACCCTAAAGGACAGAGTAGAACTGCCCTATAGGGTTTCCACGAGCACCTGGTGGATTCGAACTGCTGACTTTTGGTTAGCAGCTATAGCTCTTAACCACTACACCACCAGGGTTTCCACAGCAATGAAAATTAAAGCAAAAATTGTTTTAAAAACTTTTATATTGGTTATCTGAACCTTTAAAAATAGCATAAGCAAAAATTGCTCATGATATATATTCATACACCTTATTTGGCTACTTAGTCTTTGCTGTCTCTAACACCGTGTTGGGGAACTTTTTCTAAAAAATGTTTTTTTCTTTGTCCCATATAGTCTTATTATTTTCATATTTTCATAAAATTTCAATCTTCAAAGTTGCACCTTACGGTTAATATATTTGGAATTATTGACAATTGTAGACCGTAATATTTTTATTTAAGAAAATACTCCTTCTCTAGATGCTGATGAACCTATAAGATCAGGGCAAATTCTGATAACTGGAGGAAATTCACAATTCTATTTTTTTATTTCAAAATGTGTAAATATTTCAGCCCCAATATTTTCACAGGTGCTGTCTTTCTGCCTCCATTTACAGCACCTTTCTTCAATAAATATTTTTACAAGACAAAAGTTGTAAGTTGCTTCTATTTGTGATTCTTTTTAATATTTTGCAAAATGTAGATGCTGCAAACTCATAGGCCTTCACAATTTCTTTCCATTGTGGTGGAAAATATAAATTTATCCAATAAAAATTAGGAGCTCAGTCAAAGTCAAGATTTTTCCAAAGTACAATTTTCAAATTAGGTAATTAAACTATTCAAGATCTCATCTTTCAATTTGTTCAATTCCTCCCTGACTTCCGTAGGGAGAAAGATAAGCTTCTTCCATTCTGCAAGCTTTATTTTACATAGTTGTAATTTGCTAAAAGCTTCAAAAGCTGAATTTTCACGCTATAGTCATTGAATAACTTGATTAAAGATTTCCAACTGATTTTGAACATAATGCAACTTAAACTGAAGTTTATTTACAAAGTGGTTTGTCAAAAATTCAGGCATTTCTAAAATCTGATTGCTGATAAGCAATATAGAGAAATACATGCAGTCATGCTGAAATTTTTTTCTCGTATTCAACATCAGCTTCTATCACAAAAGTTTTGTAGATCACTTATGTATACTCTGTGTATACATAAAATGCTTGTAAATTTTGACCATTAGTTTCCATTTTGATTGCAGCTTATTTGGATACAATATTGAATTTTGTGCATACCACAACCAATTCCAAGTACATTTCTGCTCCATGGGTTTGTTTGTTTTTAAATTGTGGTGAAAATTTATGTAACAAAAATACGCCAGCTCAATAATTTCTACATGTACAATTCAGTGACATTGATTGCATTCTTCAAGTTCTGCCCCCATTCTCATTATCCTTTTCCAAATCACTTGACCACCATTAACATAAACTTCTTGTAGCTGTTGTTGTTAGTTGCTGCGGAGTCAGTTCCAACTCATAGCCACCCTACGTACAACAGAAACACTGCCCAGTCCTTCGACATCCTCTTTTTTGCTGACCCTCTACTTTACCAAGCATGATGTCCTTCTCCAGGAACTGATCCCTGCTGATAACATGTTCAAAGTATATGAGATGAAGTCTTGCCATCCTCACTTCTAAGAGGCGTTCTGGCTGTACATCTTCTAAGACAGATATGTTTGTTCTTCCGGCAGTCCATATTCATAAACTTTAATGCCCCATGAGCATAAACTCCTCCTTTCTTCCTTCTTCTCACCCCTGGTAAGCACTTTCAATCTTTGGTTTCTCCATATTTGCTTATTTCACGTAAATGAGATCCTTTTGCAAACTGACTTATTTTTTCCGCGTAAAGTTTTTGAGGTTCATCCATGTTGTGGCATGCATTAGGATTCCAGTTCTCTCTATAGATGAGAGCCCTCATGATGCAGTGGTTAAGTGCTCGGCTGCTAACTGAAAGGTCAGCAGTTCGAACCCACCAGCCACTCCACAGAAGAGAGATGTGGCAGTTTGCTTCCATAATGACTACAGCCTTGGAAACCCTATGGGGCAGTTCTGCTCTGTCCTGTAGGATTGCTAAGAGTTGGAATCGACTCGACGGCAATGGGTAGTATTCTGTTGTGTGTATATACCACATTTTGTTTATCCATTAATCTGTTGATGGACATTTTGGTTATTTCCACATTTAGCCTATTGTGAAAAATGATGCAATGAACATTGGTGTGCAAGTTTCTGTGTGTGCTCCTACTTTCACTTCTTCTGGGTATATACCTAGCATTGGGATTGCTGGGTCATATTACTTCTATATTCTACTTCTGAGGAAACTCTAAACTGTTTTCCACAGTGGCTGTACCATTTTCCATAGTTTCTTTTAAGTCAGTAAGAACATAGTTTTTACCACAATGCTGTGTTCAATTAAATCTACATTGACAATGTCAGGTGTTTCATTTTTGACAGAAGAATGAACTTCCAAATGCTTTATTTTGATCTTTTGAATTGGATGAAAAAAAAAATTCAACCATTTTGGAACTGACAGATTTTCTAACTGATGCCTCTGATGGCACTGATATAAAACTGACAACATTTAACTCTTTGCAAAGGGAACTGTCATGGATTGAATTGTGTCCCCCAAAAACATCTGTCAACTTGGCTGGGTCATGATTCCCAGTATTGTATGATTGTGTACCATTTTGTAATCTGATGTGATTTCTTTACGTGTTGTAAACTCTAACACTATGATGTAATAAGATGGATTAGCGGCAGTTACACTGATGAGGTCTACAAGATTAGATAGTGTCTTAAACCAATCTCTTTTGATATATAAAAGAGTGAAGCCAGCAGAGACACATGGGAACCTCAAACCACCAAGAAAGCAGTGCTGGGAGCAGAGTGTGTCCTTTTGACCTGAGGTTCCTGCGCACAGAAGCTCCCAGACCAAAGGAAGATTGATGACACGGACCTTCCTCTAGAGCCAACAGAGAAAGTGGTCCCCTGGAGCTGACGCCCTGAATTTGGACTTGTAGCTACTTGACTGTGAGAGAATAAATTTCTCTTGTTGAAGCTATCCACTTGTGGTATTTCTGTTATGGCAGCACTAGATGACTAAGACAGGAACCAACTCATTAATCATCACCAGTTCACTTTACTTAACAAGTGCAAGAAAACTTATAATTGAAAATGAGCAAAATTAATTTAGAAGAGTCGTTCAATCCAAATGAAAAGGTGTGCTTCACAACAACATGTAAACACACCTCCTGCAGCTGCACGTGTTGAATTGTCATCTTCAGGCACATTCTTCTGAAAGTACGTATTAACTTTTGAAGTAGATGATGATGCTTCTTCAGCATATTTGTGTCTTCTGGCTTTCAGAGGGACAGTGATATGGCTCCCAGGGTGGATGGTAAATGTTGACAAACATTTGTGCAAGTTACAGGAATTAAATTAAATCTGGTTTAAACCTGGATTAAGTTCACCATTAACTTTTTTGAGAAAATTAAACATGTACTTTTGGTTTGGTTTGGTTTGGTTTTTGAGCCAATTGCTGCTGAAAAGCAATAAAGGGTTTACTGCAAAATTAAAAAGTATTAGCAAGTAATAATAAAATAGTTACAGTTGGGATTGTCTTGCCCACTACCCACTGCCGTTGAGTCAATTCCTACTGGTAGCAACCCTGTAACTATATACAAAAACGACATAGCCTTACATATATAATTAATGACAAAACTACTGTAACAAGAACTTTTACTACGCTATGCTCTAAATGGCAAGAATGCTCAGCTTCATTTCTTAAACATAATTTGTATGATGCTAAGCTACCCTGTCCTGGTGGCTTCAGTGGTTAAACCGCTCAACTGTTACTGAAAGGTCGGCAGTTTGAAACTACCAGCAGCTCCATGGGAGAAAGATGTGGCAGTCTGCTTCCGCAGACATTTAAAGTCTTGGAAACCCTACAGGGTTGCTATGAGTCGGAATCGATTCGACGGCAGTGGGTATAAGCTACCCTGACCCTGAGGAAGCTCCACGGGTCTCACAGGCCACCACCTGGGCCATGGCAAAAGTGGTGCTGTACCAAGTAACCAGCAGGGGAAGCAGCATTAAAATTTTCCTGCCACAGCCTAACAGCAGGAGTTAGCTGTTCCTAGCTACTTGTGCTTGAGTTAGCTTTAGCAAATAACCTGTTGCCGTCGAGTCAATTCCAACTCATAGCAACACTACAGGACAGAGTAGAACTGCCCCACAGAGTTTCAAAGGCTGTCATCTTTAGGGAAGCAGCTCACCAGGTCTTTTCTCCAGTGGAGCAGATGGTGGGTTTGAACCACCGACCTTCCGGTTAGTAACCGAGCACTTAACCACTACGTCACTGTCATGGTTTGAATTATGTCCCCCCAAAAATGTGTGTATCAATTTGGCTGGGCCATGATTCCCGGAATTGTGTGGTTGGCCTCCATTCTGTGATTGTAATTTTATGTAAAAGAGGATTAGGGTGGGATTGTAACACCATATTTACCCAGGTCACATCCCTGATCCAATGTAAAGGGAGTTTCCCTGGGGTGTGGCCTGCAGCACCTTTTATCTCTCAAGAGACAAAAGGAAAGGGAAGTAAGCAGAGAGTTGGGGACCTCATATCATCAAGAAAGCAGTGGCAGGGGCAGAGGGCATCCTTTGGACTGGGGTCCCTGCGCAGAGAAGCTCCTAATCCGAGGGAACACTGAAGAAAAGAAGGCCGACAGAGAGGAAAAGGCTTCCCCTGGAGCTGATGCCCTGAATTTGGACTTTTAGCCTACTTTAACTGTGAGGAAATAAACTTCTCTTCATGAAAACCATCCACTTGTGGTGTTTCTGTTATAGCAGCACTAGATGACTGAGACAGTCACCAAGGCTCCTTCTTTAACAGATAGCACCCTGAATATTATGCTTAAAAGGATGCTACTAGTTAGGTTTTGTCTCACCAGGGTGTGGAAAAGAGAGACAATTTGTCGTTAGCCATCTTTTGGATTTAGGTCATAATAAAGTGGGAACTCTGTTCACTACACATGTGTTTTACACATCACTAGATGAGCCCATGGAAGAAGCCAGAAGAACCAAATGGAGGTCTATTAACCCATGGTGGCTCACTGTAATGCAAATGCAAATAATGAAAGCTTATTAAAAAATTTTTAAAAATCTGGGGTAAAAGGAGCTCTGGTGGTGCAGTGGTTAAGCGTTCAGCTGCTAACAAAAAGGTCAGCAGTTCGAATCTACCAGCTGCTGCTTGGAAACCCTATGGGGCAGTTCTACTCTGTCCTATACGGTTGCTGTGAGTTGGATATCAATTTGATAGCAATGGGTTTGTTTGTTTGCTTGTTTCTGGGATAAAAGCTAAATCAACAGGATGTTAGGAAAACAGGCATGATCCCTGTCTGTTCCAGGCGAACCAGAACATACGGTCAGCCCGCTGAGATCAGTGTCAGAACTGTGGCTTTTGCTGAAATGGGAAGTTATTGCAGAGCTTTGAGTCGAAGAATGACATGATCGGACTTAAGTTTTAAGGGATCACTCTGGCTGCTATGCTGAGGTTAGACTGGAAAGGGGCAAGGGCACGGAGACCAGTTAGGAGCTTATTGCTATATTCCAGCAGTGACAACAAAGAAAATAGCTCCCTAGAGGAGAGATAAATGTGTGTCCTTAAAATTGTGTGTATTTGGCTGGAGGGAAGAACAGTTAGAGAGGTAATCTACCCATGAGCTCAAATTTCAGGCCTGTGTTGCTGGTTATTCTACATAGTATACATGGATACATCAGAATATCATCGTTCAAAATCACCAGAAATGAAGACTAACTACTTAATCCCTCTTATGCTAATTCACTTCTCATCAAGCAACATTTTAATTATAACGTAGGTTCAGGTAGACAGGAAGAGAATACATCAGCAAATATTAGTATCTGTTCTACTTAATAACTTTAACCATTCCTGGTTTTTTGTTCTTTTATATATATATATATGTATACACACACATACATATATAGTATATACAATATATATTTGTATATATCCATATATATCCATATACATATATATACATAAACATATATATACACACACACATATATACATCATCTCTTGTGAGTTTAGTTAGTGTGAGTTGGTTCCCTAGAGCTTCATCATCTCTGGGTATACTAATAATTTAATTTCTTAATCTATTCAGCAGAAAATATGACCTGGAAGGTGATGACCCTGGAAAGTCATCCTAAGACATCTCCCCTAGATGATCTCTGACCTTACTGAGTGCAATTCCAATCAAGCTGCAACAGCATCTCTGATGCACAGACAGTAATATCAGAATATTTCAAGTGAATGAGGGAATCTTATACCTATTACCATTCCTTCATTAAACCCATAACCCTTCGCTGTTGAGTCAATTCCAACTCATAGTGACCATATAGGACAGAGTAGGACTGCCCCATAGGGTTTCCAAGGAGGGGCTGTGGATTTGAACTGCCGACCTTTTGGTTAGCAGACATAGCTCTTAACCAATGTGCCATTGTGACACCCCATCCCCTCACTGGAAAAATGTAATTCTCAAAGGTCTACTCTCCTGTGATGATTTTCTCAATTCTCCTCCTCTTTCCAAAAACAACCATCTTTAAACTACCATTAAGAGATTTTTTTTCTCTTCCTTGGATATATAATTCTGCTTTCATCTCATTGTATATGGGATACAATTAATTTTCAAAAGTGCACTCAAACATCTATATTCAAGGCACTACAATAATTGAAAAGTTACCTGCAAGGGGGTTGTGTCATCCTGAACGGAAAGAACCTTTGAAGTCTCAGTAAGGTTAGTCTCCTTTCTGGAATGCTGATCCAGGGGAAGAGAGGCTGGGTTGGAATATTCATCACTGTCCTGGAGGGTGGAATTTTCAAGTTCCTCTAATAAGGCATCTATGTCATAAGAAACAAGAGAATCATAATATAGAATCTGTAAGTCTATGGAATAATTTTCCCCTTAAACATCCTCACTGTGCCCCATTCATCTCCCTCTTCTCTTGCATTAAAGCTACTTTCAAACACCTTCCCTCACTCCTTATTTCACTTCAAGAATGTGGCCTGTTCTACCAGGAGATGTGTAATACCTCTGCCTACTGTGGCCTGCTTCTTATTTCCTATAGGTGTATTTATTTTCATAATCTCACTGTATAATTTAACTTCTTATACTGCAGGGTATTCATTTTTATCATTCATTTAGGGCAGATCGTCCACAGATATGCTCAGTTAGAAAACGAAAAAGAAAATATTTTTCTTATCAGAAAAATATAAGGAATTTCTTTTCAAAATCTACCTGGGCAGTAACACTTATTCTTAACCCTGATTTTTCTTTGGTCTTAAATCTCAAGCATTATCCCAAGCAATATAACAAATTTCTGAAAACCTAGTATAAGTATTCTATCTTTTAGGGTGAGGAGAGAAAAGGTGCTTCAGGAGAAAACAGATACTGCAAAATCAAGTAAGATGCCGCAATCCAAATAGCTGGAATTCATTTCTTTTGTAGTTTCCTTGGGGGAAAAAAAAATGGACTTTACAAATATTACACAATTACCCTTCCATTGTAATGAAATGGATAATAATAATTAATAAAAGTTAACACATCAGCCACTATGCTCAGGAGTTTACATATTTCATTTAATTATCATACCATTTTGAGGCAGGTGATATTATTATCCTTATTTTGTAGATTGAGAAACAGACACAAGGAGGTAAGCAACTTGTTTCAGGTCATGCTGCCACTAAGTGCAGAACCAGGACTTTAACCTGGTGGCACAGTGGTTAAAGAGCTAGGCTGCTAACCAAAAGGTCAGCAGTTTGAATCCACCAGCCGTTCTTTGAAAACCTTACTGGGTATTTCTACTCTGTCCTATAGGATTGCTATGGGTCAGAATTGACTTGAAGGCAATGCATGGGTGGGTGATCTGACTCCTAGTACTAACTTCAAGTCAGAGTTCCAGTTCCCCTTCTTACGTGGGTTCTCTGGGTCATCCTGAGTGTGGCATGTCCTTCTCTGAAGTTACTTCCTCATCTACATAATGAAGTGATCAGATTAAAAGAGTATTTTTTTCAAATTCTGGGTTGTGACCCATGAGTGGATCTCTAGTAAATTTCTTGTGAAAGAAAGGTCTGGTGATCTGCTTCTGTAAAGATTGCAGCCAAGAAAACCTTATAGAACACTTCTGCTCTGTAACACATGGGATCCCCATGAGTTGAAACCGACTCAACAGCAACAGGTATGGTTTCTTTTTTTTTTTAGTAGATTTCTTACCACAGGTTGTGGTTTTAAAAAGTTTGCAAAACAGTAGATTAGGGTATTTCTAAGAGCCTGCCTAGCTCTGAAGTTCTCAGATGAAGAAAATGAACTTTACAGGCAATTTTAAAAGATGGATTTTCATTTACTTCACATTTTGGGGAGAGGAGTATTTCTTAAAGGCATAAGGAAAGATTTTATCATTTCTCACCGATGGAATCTTCTATAGATCCTTCTTGGTCATGAGTTTTAGGCACCATTGTAGAGATAAGAAAACTGAGCCAAACTCTTCAGGACAAATGACCCTTCAACAAATAAATTACAGTAAAATCTGCAAAAGCCAGAATCTGTGTAAGGCGGAAACTGGTCAGAGAAGGAAAACTCAAATATTTTCCACTAAAATGAGTGATAGAGAAGCGGTGACTGTACACTGTCAAAGGCGGAAAACTTGTGAAATCAGCAAAAAGAAGACAGTGCCAGTGAGTTCTGGCTCTCATAGGTTTCACTGTATAATGAGAAAAAAGAGATGGAGGGGGAACCTATAGATTAAAAAAGATTTAAGAGACTTACAACTAATTGCAATGTATGGACCTTATTTGGATCCTTAAATAAACTGAAAAAAAAAATGAAACCATCAGGTAATTTTGAACACTGCCTGGATATTTTATAATACTAAGTAAATACTGTTAATTTATTTTAGGGGTGATAATAGTATTTCATGATGTCAAGGATTTTTTGGGTGTGATAATAGTACAATTATTTGTATATGCATATGTATATATTTATTTATTTTATAGATTAATGCTGAAATATTTACAGATGAAATAATATCTGGAATTACTTTTAAAATAATCCAGGGGTGGAAGGAATAAGTGGGTGTGTAAATAAGATAGCCCAAGAGCTGATGATTGTTTAAGCTTGTTGATAGGTATATCAGGTGTCCTTAAACTATTTCCCTACTTCTACATGTTTAAAATTCTCTATAATTAAAGATTTTTTTTTTAAAGAAGAGAAAAGACAAGAAAGAAAAGATAAAACCTAAAGTAGAAAGAGAGAGTAAAACTTATTGTTTTAGAATGTTGGTAGCCAGGTGGAGAAAATTCAGGAATTCCAGATTTTTATTCTCTTTTCTATTTTCTAAGCTTTGCTCCAACCAAAAGTCAAAGATCCTTCTAGATTCAAAATAAAAAGTCATTTAACATAAAGGCTGGGGGAAAGGGGAGACCCTCTATAAGAAGAGTAAACCATACCACTAAGGGTAGGGTGTTACCCTTAGAAGCACCAGCTAGCCGGATTTATTGAAACTGTCCCTTTTGGGCCATGAGTTAACAGGCCTTTCTCTTCCTGTTTCTTGTGAGTGCCCATATCACCAACACCATGAGGTCATCTTGACAGATTTTGTAATTTGAAGATGACTAATTTCAGTATGACAAATACAGGGCTCCTGGTGGTGGTGGTGGAGGGGACGGGAAGATAGTGGGTGGCAACTAGACTGAAAAGTTTATAGTCCTTTATCTCACCTACTGCTCAAAATCCCCTCCAGTAATGAAATAATACCAACATTAACAGGAAAGGAGTAAAGTGGGCTCTCTCAGGGGTCCCCATGAGTTGCAATTTCATTCAGAGCCGCAGTCTGCTACAGGTCCCTTTATCTAGCATACCTGTGTGTTGAGGGTCTAGGTAAAACCTTCTGGGTAGAAACAAGCTACTAACCTCCTAGGAAGGTCTACAGAAGGGATATCTGCTCCCTTGTGCTAACCTGCCCTCAATACTATATCCCCACAGAGGGGAAGAAGGCCCCACCCCAAGTCTTGCAGGTAGCTATTGGGCTGATGACAATATGAAGAAGCTGTTCAGGTGTAGACATCAACAGCTACTGAGGTATAGCCATCTGGATAATCTACACAAATGTTAGTTTCCAGGATGCTTGGTACTTTCTATATTTTTAGACCAGATTTCTCTACCATCCATCCTGCTCAGGAAATGCAAAACTTTGCGAATCTACTGTTTTTTATTATCTGGGTTGTTCCATTGGTGGGAACACCTGAGCCAACACACTCCTCGAAAAAGGAGAACACCTTGTAACTTAATTGGCTTTGGTATCAGATGCTCCTGAGAGTGACCTTGAAGAAGTGATTTCATTTTTTCTTAGTTTTCTCGTTTGAAAAAAAGTAGATATTACCTCTTTCAGAGGGTTGCTGCAGACCCTAAAATGATTAGCACATATAAAATGCCTAGCTTTAACCTGAACCACTGAATAAATATTAGTTCCCATTTGAACAACCTGCATGAAAACTATTAGGTATACCTAAAATTAAAGAAATAAATAAATAGAGAGAGAGGTAGACTCTACTGGAACATAGCAGAAATGTGGATTTCCCCAACTCTCACACACAGGATAAGAATTTGATATAAATGCAGCTATCCCAAGGATCAAAATAGACTTTATATCAAAAATAGTTCAGTGTTTGTTAAACAACACTTTCTCTTCTTCATTCAACATTCTTCTTTCTGATGAGTTAGAATCGACTCAACAGCAGTGGGTTTTGGTTATTTGACTTTCTTCCATCCTCTATTTCCCTAGCCCTCAAATCACACCCAGAAACAATTAAAAAAAAAAAAAGATAATGTCCAAGATGTTTTTCTGTTGTTGTTGTTGTTTACACTTTCAACATGCTAAAACCCAGGACTCCGGAATTAATACGGCTTGCCAATCAGGTAAAGGTGAGTGAGTGACTCGGTGTTAGCAAGAATGCCGGCAACAAAAGTTGGTAAAGACTGAGGAATGAGTACCAAGAATGACAAGCTTTACTCTACTCCAAAGGTCTGAAAGCGGGACCTCCCTAGTTAATGTGGCCAATAGTTCCACGGCTGGTTTTAATTGCCTTGTAGTGGGAGGATGTATCATATTTGTAGGCCATAGTAATTTGTTCCTTCAGAATTCCTCTGAATAAAAAGCTTAGTAACAAAATCACTGATTTAACACTAAACCAGGGAACAAACGAAACTACCTTTGCTTTTCTCCAACTTCTGCAGATCCCTCCTTCTTGCACTTTGACTCCATTTATCTTCCTCAAAACACCCTTTCCCCTCTCCATTTTCTTTCTTCCCTTCTTTCCCCCAAATCACATCCCTGTAGCTGTGTGACCACCCTATGACCTCCCATATCTCCCAAAAGGCAAAATGCCCAAGTTAAAAATGACAATTTCAATCGCAGTTCAGTCCAAAAGTATTTCTGGAATCACAAGTTTACCCTGTGGTTAGCACCAAGCTCTCTACCTATCGAGCTACCACAAACAGTGAACCTGGCATTCCCCCAATCACAGTTCCTCATGCTTCATACTTGGTTGGGTGAAGATAGCAGAGAAGTGAAAATAAAATCTTTGAGTACTGCCGTCAATCTGGCTAGAAGTACACCCCACCACACATATAGACGGCAGCCAAGTCTTCATTCCCTCAGAGTTTCTTCTCAAAGAAGCTCAACTCACCCAACTCTTCCATTGTCACACACCCAAGATGCTCTGGTCCCAAAGGTTGTAAGGAGCTGCTTTGGCATGTGCAGAAGAAGAAGACCACAAAGGAACTGAATGAGACAGCGTGAAGCAGCCTCTATAACCCTTTTTGGTTCCTGTATTTGCTTAGCACTTCCTCTCTTTTGATTTGGTGAATTTTTTTTTTTTTTTTTTTTTTTTTTTTGCAGGTCACAGTTTTAAAATGAAATAGGACTGACGTAGAAAGGCAGGTTGTAGGATTTGAATTCTGGTGGTGGACTGGCAAGGAAGATAAAGATTCAAAATTAATTTAACAAAATTTGAGTACTTAATACCTGCCAGAACTCCTCTTGAATTCATGGAAATGGCAGATTTGCACTTGCGTTTTTTCTCAGTGTGGGTCCCACTGTGAGTGTACATCAGGAAACTTGCTTTCTTCTGTGAAGACGGGGGACAATAGAGGCACAGTGTCCACAAAATTTCCATCAGAATTAACCAGTACCCAATTTATTTTGCTCTCTTTTTTTACTTAATTGTTCAGAAATTATGCTTACCCACTTCTCCGGATAGACTGTAAATCCTTAAAAGGCAGAGCTGATGTTTATTCACATTTGGATTGCCAGGGCCTGGCTTATTTCAGAGGTCCAAAATTCAAACATTGGTAGAGGACATGTCATCAGGAAAGATTAATCACTAGAAAAGGACATCGTATTTGGTAAAGTGGTGCTGTATATGTTGGCTGCTGTTGAGTCAATGCTGATTCACCTGACCCCACAGTAAAGTGGGGAACCCTCCATGAGATGGACTGACATGGTGGCTGCAGCAATGGGCCCAAACATATGAACGATTTTGAGTATAGTGCAGGATCAGGCAATGTTTTGTTCTGTTATACACAAGGTCACCACAAGTCAGAGCCGACTCAACGGCAGCTAACAACAAAGAGGTAATGAAGAATGAAACTGCAAGGTTTAAGACACCAGGTGCTAAACTGGTGACATCACAAACAAAATTGTCTTATAGCAGTTTCTCTGAAAAGTGATACTGAAGTTTTCACCTATTTTACCACTGAGCTTTTATTCACCTTGAATGAAATAAAACATTTACCAAATAAGTCACAGAAGGCGGTATGTAAAGAACGATAATTAGGGCGCTGTGAAAGAAATATTATCCCCATTTTTACTAGTGGTGAAATAAGTTCAAGGATAGTAACTTCCTTAACAGAATTAGTAATTAATTAACTAGCTTTGTTAGCTACCTACTATAATCCAGTTTGACTTCAAAGCCCATGATCTTTTCTCTACAACACAGTGGTATCTTTTTAGGTTAATCTAAAGGGATCAATTCATTTTCCATTCCATTGTTTTTTTTAATTGAAAGGAGATTCCCATTTTGCATTACTTTGAGTAACCATTGGATGTCAGTGCTGTTCCAAGAGTCTGCTCACTGAAAGCGTGGGATTGAAAAAATTCTCATCCACACTATATCCAACAACAAAAAAAGTAACATTAGCTCTATGAAAGTGCAAAACACTCAGCAGAGAATATAAAACACTTGCCTAATCTGAGGTGGTAACTGAGCCAAAATACTGGAAGGAAAAATGCACTTCAGTACTTGGCTAATACTGGACTGCATCTACAGTTTAACTGAATGATTAATGTGAAATCTAGAATTGGATCCCAGATCTTGTTTCCGTTCTCATTCTTCTGGGGCTTTTAACCTCGGAAGCTTTCTTTTCCAGAGTTAAAGGACTGTTCTTTCAAATCGTTCCTTGAGTATAGTGGATCAAACAAGTAGATGGCAAAGGCCAACTGCATCACTGATTGCAACTTGAAAATGAGCAAATGGAAACTCCCTTTTGACGCATCAGGACAATTTAGTATGCATACGATATTGGCCAGACAAGTAACTTCTGACAAACCTGCTATTCTTACTGTGTTTCCTGTGCAACAGAAATATTTATAAACCGCAAGTGGTTTCGGGACAGGAAGCATAAGGGAGACAGACCTTCAGCTTCTCTGGGGAGGTCACCTGAGTCACGCTAACAACCATTCGCCCTTCCCTCCAGCTCAGGAACCAGAAACCTAAAAGTTAAGCAGCAGACGCCAGCTTCATGATGCCGTAAAAACGTGTGGTAGAAAAGCAACTCTACAATTCGTTCCATAAACTTTTATTAAGAGGTGACTGAGTGCTAGGCATTGCGCTAGGCCCCTGAGGTCCTGACCGAAAACAGATTCAGTTCCTGCCGTCCAGAGGTCCACACGTTAGTGGATCAGAAACAGGATGTCAACACGAATAATGTAGACATGAACCCTAGCTGGCCCCAGAGGACGTGCCACCTTACGAAATCACGGTAAGGAGTATTACGCCAACGCTAAATAAAAAATACTAAAAAGTAGGAAAAAAATCTCGCTGGCAAGCAACTGGCTCGCCCCTTGGGCCGGCAATGCGCAGGCGTCACAGCCCGACCCGGAAATACTGCCTCCCTAGAAAAGAAAACTCGGACCACGAAAGGAGAGTAAACCACTTTTCCCATCAAGCACTAGTTATAAACTCCCAGCATCCTCTCCGTCCCAGGTTGCTTATCTTTTTTTACTGCATTCCACGGTAACTACAACTTCATGTCCCAGGATGCCTTATCGGAAAGTTAACCATACCCATGCGCGAAGAGGCGGGTTCTCCTTTCCCCACTACCCCGCCTCCGTCCTACCACCGCCATTTTGTTAGAGACTTTCATTCGGCAGCCGACGGGGCTTTTTTTCTTAAAGGAGAAGCGACAGCTCAAAAAAATTCCCCCGTCTCTGTGCAAGACTTGGCGACGCTGGGGACAAAAAAGCCAAAGACTGGAAAGTGGGACTCAGGGTGGAGGCAGAGGAACGACCAGGCTGTTTCCACGGACTAAGGAAGGCTAGAAAGAGTCCTTGTTGCATTAGCGGCTCCTTAGGGAGGCAGGTGCGCGCGCAGCCAGTGCTGGGTGCGCGCGAGGCGGGGAAAGAGGTGCGTTTTCCTCATTCCAACCTCCCTCGCGAGACCTGCCCCTCCCTCTGCCCATAGCGCGCTTTGATCTGGCGGGGGGGGGGGAAGGGGGCGGGAAGGTCACTTTCGGATTGTCGCGAGACGCAGCCGTTTAACGGTGAGAGCGGGTGCGCGGGGAAGGAAACCTCGCGCGCTCCCTTGGAGCCGTTTCCTGATTGGTGAAAGGAAGGGGTGGGGGAGGGAACCCGCTACGCCTCTGCGTGAGAGGCCGGGAGGGGCGGGGCCAGGGGGCCGTTCATCCTCTCCGATTGGTCCGTGGAGCGTCCGTGTCAGGCGCGCGCGCGGCGCCAGCGGCTGCGGGCTGTGAGTGGCAGGGGGCGGGGGGGGCGCCTTCGGAGCTGGGAGGAGGGGAGGGGGAAGAGCAGCGCAGGGTGAGAGTGAGCCCGACGCTCCGGGAGGCGAAGGGGGCGGGGGGAGCAGCGCCGCGGCCGCCTCCGCCTCCGCCGCCTGGGACGGGGGGGTGGGGACGGACGAGCCCCGATGCCGGGGGAGACGGAAGAGCCGAGACCCCCGGAGCAGCAGGACCAGGAAGGGGGAGAGGCGGCGGTGGCAAAGGCGGCTCCGGAGGAGCCCCAGCAGAGGCCCCCTGAGGCGGTGGCGGCGGCGGCGGCGCCTGCAGGGACCACTAGCAGCCGCGTGTTGAGGGGAGGCCGCGACCGGGGCCGGGCCGCTGCGGCGGCCGCCGCCGCCGCTGTGTCCCGCCGGAGGAAGGCCGAG